GTGTGTGAAGTGCGGGGAAGGCCTGCCCGTGGTGGTGATCCGAGCCGGGGATGCCTTCTGCAGGTGAGGCCTGGGGATGGTCAGGAGGCCCTACGGAGAGGCCAGGCCAGCCAGGACCCCCACTCGGCGGAGGCCCTGCAGTATTGTCCGCTGTTTCTGCCTGTGCCCTCGCCCCGGCCCTGGAGGTGGAAGTACCGGTTCCGCCCTGGGGGCAGTCTCCCGCCCAGCGCGGATCAGGTGGGGGTGAGGTCTGATGGAGCTTGTGGGAGAGGTGCCGGCGTGTCTGGATGGGGTAAGGCGCGGGCCGCATGGGCATCCGGTGCTCAGGGTGGTCGCCCTTTACCTCTGAGACCCGCCTTGTGTGGGGGTTGAGAGCCCGCCAGTCTCCCGGGTGCAGGGGCCTTTGGCAGGCAGAGCACGCCCTCCCTGCTAAGGCTACTAAGAGCACCTCTGCATTGGGTGGTCCTCATGGGCAGGACCGGTTTCCCACTGTGGCTTCCCAAACATGTGTCTGGTGAGTGTTCCCCGGAAGGCTCTGGCTCTGCTTTCTGAACGTCTGGAGTGAGCCCTAAGGCGTGGGCTGCTAGGGCGTGGGCTGCATAGGCTGTGCTCCAGACTTACCTGTCCCCACCGTCTTTCGGGAACCTAGCAGACTGGGAGGCCGCGGTGTGTGCCACCAGGAAATGCATCCCGGGCGAGGCCCACTCTGTGCCACCACCTAGGCCTGCCTGAAATGATGGCCGCCCCAGGTGGGACCAGGCTCCTCAGGCCCGGAGCTTTCCCTGCGTGCTCACCTGGTCCTGAGAGGGTGGGAAGCTGCCTCTGGTGGAGGGTCTGGGGCTCCACGCTTTGAGCGAGGCGCTTGCTCAGTAAGGTCAGTCATGTGGGGACCAGGACGTGGGAGTGTGGCCTCTGTGGGAGGACAGCACGTGAGTCCCAGGCTGATGGGAAGACAGACCTGCTCCCCTCAGCTGGGTGCTGCCTCCTCTACTGCCTGCCAGGATTGCCTGGGACCTTTAAAATGCAGATTCAGGGGCTCACTCTCGCAGAGTCTGACTCAGCTGTTGTGTGTGGTTGCAACGTGCTCCGGGGCCCAGAACCTTGGACCTAGTGACCCTGCGTCATCCGGGCGATTTGTCAGGATTGTGGATTCCTGGGCCTTGCCTGGAAGTTCCCGTCTGTAGCTTGGGGGGAGAGCCCAAGCCTCTGCCTCCAGCTGTTTCTGGCTCTAGTGGGCCTGACATGGGGGATACCAGGTGTGGGGCTCCAGGGTCTGCAGCCTGCTGAGAACCACCCTCTTGTCCCTACGGTGGAGTTGGGAGAAAGTCTAACTGGCTTCCTTGGGGGTCCTGCTCTCACTGCACGTCGGAGCGCAGGGTCCTTCTGGCCGGGCCTGGCCGGGCCCTCCGAGCAGGTGGGCGCTAACCCCTGGGCTGCAGCTCACACTTGGTGAGGACAGTGGGAGGTACCCAGGAGAGCCACATGTCCCCGGGGAAGCCCAGCTCCAGGCTGACCGTCAGCCCCTTTGCCAGCCTCCAGGCAGAGCCCGCCATGGAGGTGTGATTGCTGTCCCTCCATGGCGAGAAGGCAGCTGCAGGCCTCAGTGCCTCTGCCCGGCCCTGGCTATGGGCATACATGCACCGCTTACTCGGGAGGCCCTGGAGAACCAGAGCCTCTCCGTGGACTGGCCTCACAGCACCGGACCCCGCGGTGGCACTTGTGCTGTGCGGGCTGGGGCCTGGGCAGGCTTGGCTTCGGTCCCTGGGCCGACATGAAGGCCAGGGTGGTGACACGTGCCTGCAGTCCCGGGGACCCTGGAGTGAGGCAGGAGGATCACGGCAGCAAGAGCCTGTCTAGCAAGAGCTGGAAGCCGCTCAGGGGAGGACAGCGTCGCCGGGGCCACGGCCACCCGGACAGCACACCCAGCAGCTCCCGGCTCGCTCTGTGTTGCAGGGACTGTTTCAAGGCCTTCTACGTTCACAAGTTCAGAGCCACACTGGGAAAGAACCGGCTTATCTTCCCGGGCGAGAAGGTACCCTGTGGGCCAGGTCCCTCCGGCAGGCAGCCTGTCCCGCCGCAGCCCAGCAGCTCCCTGGGCTGTGAGGGTGGACTGAGGCCACCGCGAGGCGGGGCCGGACTGCATGGGGCAGTGTTCACAATGCCTTTGCAACGCCTCTCCCAGGTGCTCTTGGCGTGGTCTGGGGGCCCTTCGTCCAGCTCCATGGTCTGGCAGGTCCTTGAGGTGCGTGCCCCCACCCCCAGGCTCTTGGAGAATGAATGTGTGAACAGCAAGTGCTCGCCCAGAGCCGTGTTGGGCCCCCAGCTATGCTCATTGAGCTGTGTGCTTGACCTGCTGGAAGCGTGGGTGCTGGTAGACGGGGATGGCACCCTGACACCAGGGTGGGGAGGGACCAGGTTGAAGTGGGGTGCACAGCACAGGGAGGGGCCATGAGTGGCAGGTGTGCTGCGTGTACAGACCCACCCAGGGGCAGGGTAGTGTGGGCAGGGTGGACAGGGCTGGTCACAGGACAGGCGTGCTCAGCTGGTGGTGGTGAAACTGCGTCCTCCCTGCCCCCACACCCAGCGATGCTCACCTGCAGCTCAGGGTCACTTTCTGTCCTTGTGGAGGAAACGCAGCAGGAGTGGGCGCAGGTCCCTGGGTAGGGGTGCGGAGTGCTGGGATGGCCACTTCTCGTGGACAGACTGATGAGGGCTAGGTTCCGGGATTCTGCCCATGGGGACTTGTCTCCTAGCGGGGTGGAGACCCCACAGCCCATCCTTTAAAGTGAGTCAGGCTGGACAGCCGTCCGCTAGCAGGGCGGTCATGTCCCCTCTGGTGGGAGCTAGCCTGGGTGGAGGGTGACCTGGAGCCAGGGGTGCCCCCCCGCCGCTTCTCCTGCAGGGCCTGAGTCGGGATTCTGCCAAAAGGCTGCGTTTTGTGCCAGGGGTCATCTATGTCGACGGTAGGTGTAGCCACCACTCCTCCCGGTCCTGGCCACTTGGGAGGGGCCTTGTCGAGAATGGCCAATGCTGGTTCCCTTCTCAGCTCGGCAGAAAGGTGGGGTTGAGGGGCATGAGCAGCTGCCCAGCTGCCCAGCTCTGTCTGGGACAGGGGGACCTGGATGCTGGTCCTCCACCCCTCGTTCCTGCAGGAAGGGCTCTAGGGCAGGCCCAGTGCTGTGGTTGGCCAAGAGGGGACCTACTGCCCAGTCTGAAGGTGTACCTGCAGGGGAGCTAGGGCAGGTGGCCTCCAGGGTTTCCCCAGGGCTGGGACTCCCTCTATAGGGACCTCATCTTTCTGTCTGAGCCTCAGAGGGAGCAGTCTGTGGCCAGAGCCACGAAGACAGAGAGAAGACCCTGGCCCAAGTGAAGCTGACCTTGCAGAAGACCGGCCTCCCATGGCACGTGGTGGCCTTAGAGGAGGTGGGGGTCCTGGGCCCCCTGGGGGTGGTGACGGGCGCGTCTTGCACTGTGGCCCGGCCTGACCACACCCCCTGGCAGGTGTTCAGCCTGCCGTCCTCGGTGCTGCGGGGCTCGGCCCTGGACCCAGCTGGGACCCAGGGGGGCTACAAGGCGGCAGTGGGCAGTTTCCTCCAGCAGCAGCAGCAGCAGCACGCGCCAGTGGCCGAGCCCAGCCCCAGCCCAGCTCCAGGGGAGGCACGGCTGTGCCAGCCCCACACTTGGGGCACCCTGGGCCACCAGGGCCTGGCCGAGCTGCCCACAGCTGCCCAGACCCAGGCTCTGTGCAGACTGTTTGACTCCGTGAGGACCCTGACAGCCAAGGAGGAGCTTCTGCAGACCCTGCGGTAAGCACCCCTCCCCCACAGCCTCTGCCCACTCGGCCAGGCCTGAGACCCTTCACCCACAGGTCCCACCTGGTCCTGCATGTGGCGCGAGCCCACGGCTACTCCAAGGTGATGACCGGGGACAGCTGCACCCGCCTGGCGATCAAGCTCGTCACCAACCTGGCCCTGGGCAGAGGGGCCTTCCTGGCCTGGGACACGGTACGCACTTGCAAGCAGCGCCTCGTGAGCTCCCACGGGGAGGCAGCGGATGCAGGCTGACGTGCCCCCCCCCCCAGGGCTTCTCGGACGAGCGGCAGGGGGACGTGGTGCTGGTGAGGCCCATGTGCAACCACACCCTGAAGGAGGTGGCCTTCTACAACCGCCTGTTCGCTGTCCCCTCTGTCCTCACACCAGCCCTTGGCACCAAGGTGGGTGCAGCGGGGCGCTGAGCGTGCCGGCTCTCTTCCAGCAGCCGTGCCGGCCGCACCTGCGGGCCCTCTGTCCCGAGCCCAGCACCCCGGCCTGGCTCTGGTGGTGCCAGTAGTGGCGTCCCCCAGGTCCTCTGCCCATTCCTTCTGCCTCCCAGGGCAGGAGTCAGAGCTCGGGCTCGGGCGGGTGGTGGGTGCTCCACACCTCAGAGATGGTGTCTGGCCACTCAGCCCAGCGGGTGGACTCAGGCTGGCAGTGGAGAGAAGCCCCCACACCTGCTCTGGCTGGCCCTAGGGCCTCCTAGAGCTCCCCTCTGCTGTCTGCAGGCCCCTGAAAAGGCCAGTGTGCACCGGCTGGTGGAGGCCTTCATGCTCAGGCTGCAGACCCAGTTCCCGTCCACAGTCAGCACCGTGTGCAGGTGTGTGCTGCCCCTGCCTGCCCGGGAGGCGGGGTGACTCCCCTGCTGATGCCGCTGCCCCCGCAGGACTGGTGAGAAGCTGCTCAAAGCCCCTAGGAGCGGCCCCGCCGGGCCCCCCTGCCTGCTCTGTGCATGCACACTGGACGTCGACACCGCAGGTCTGGGCGTGGCTCCCAGAGGCGGGGTGCGGTGGGGTGCGCAGCCCTGCTTCCCTCAGCCCCCCTCTGCTTGCAGACAGCGCCACAGCCTTCGGGGCTCAGATCTTCTCCTGTGCCCCCGGGACACAGCTGCCCAGTCTGCTGGCCAGAGCCGGGGAGCCCCAAGCACCCTCCTCCTCTCCAGGGGAGAGTGGGGCCCAGGGCTGCTGCAGGGAGGCCTGTAAGAGGTGAGTCCTGCCTCCCCCACCCTGGTCCTGTGTGGGGTGGGACAGGCCTGTGCAGTGCCCTCCCACCCCTGCTCTGCCACCACAGGGATGAGCACCGGGCCTGCGTCGTGGAGCAGCTGTGCTATGGCTGCCGCGCCAACCTCAGGGACCTGGTGAGTGGCGGGTAGGCCTGGGCAGGGCGGGTACAAGTCATCTCGCAGCCCTTCCTCATGGTAGCCTTTGTTGCAGCCCTCCCTGGACCCCCTGCCCCCCTACATCCTGGCCGAGGCCCAGCTCCGCAGCCAGAGGTACCCGCCCTGCTCCACCCCTCCCACTGGGAACCCCTCAGGGCAGGGGTGGGTGTGGGAAGCAAAGGGGTGCAGACTGGGCCTCTTGCCCACCCTGCTTCTCCACAGGGCCTGGGTCCAGCAGCAGATCCAGGAATATCTGATTGAGGACAGTGAGGACGACGCAGCAGAAACGGGTCACAGCTGAGCCTGGGCTCGGTGCAGCTGTGCGGGGCGGGAGGGCAGGGCCCAGCCTTCCTGGGATTGCGTTTGTATAAATAAAAGTGTTTTAATTAGAAAATTACAGTACGCTCGGGGTGGGGGCCCCAGGCCAGTGGCGGGACAGTGTCCTCGGACAGCAGCATCAGGCGAGGGCGGCAGCCAGGGCCCCGGCTACTCCTTCTCGCGCGTCCACTTGATCATGGTCTCCGGCGAGCGGTACAGGAAGATGAGCTTGGCGTAGAGCTCCTCCTCCAGCTCCAGCTCGCGCGTCTCGCGCACCAGGAAGATGTCCTGGCACAGCTTGAGGATGCGGTCCACACACGGCAGCTCCTCGAACATGATGGAGTGGGAGATCTCGCTGAAGAAGCCGCGCACGAACTTGCCGATCACCAGCACGATGGACACGTACAGCCCCATGACCCTGGGGGAGGCCGAGTGAGCCCGCGCCGGCCGGCCCGCCCGC